AAAAAAAAAGAAATAATTTTAGCTAAAACAGGAAAAGAAACTCCCCAGTTTGGTCTGGCAAAGAGTGATTTCAAAACACTGGTTCTCAAAGTGTAGCCACCAGACCAGCAGCAGCATCAACCCAGAAATGTGATTGAAAGGTAGAGTCTCAGATTCCATCCCAAGCCACAGAATCAGAAGCCCAGAGGATGGTTTCACAACCMGTGTTTTAACAAGCTGCCCAAGAGATCTTGAGGTATACTCAAGTTTGAGAATCACTGTTTTACAGTAATTTAACAAGGTAATCACCTTTGCATAGTTTTTCATCTGTAAATTGGGAAGGCTTGAATATGTCACTAGAATCACATCCACTTCTGGGATCCACAGAACTAAAGACAAAGCCAAAAGTGTGGAATAAACTTTGGGATTTAGGAAATAACTCCCGAATTCAGAAATAATTGGATGGTGCAACATTCTTTTACGAAACTCCAGTTTCTTTAGGACAAAGTCTGTCTCTCTACACAGATGTGATTTGAATTAAAAAGAGAGTCCATTMAGATTAACCAAATGTTTCTTTTAAATGATGTCATTAAAAACATTTAATACATTTCAGTAAAAACGACGGGTATTAGACTGGGGATGACAATGATAATGATCTTCATAGCTTAACAACCTGTTGGGTTTTTTAAATTAAAATTTATATCTCATGATCTTTCAAAAAAAGGGACCTAAGGTGAATTAAAACCATGAATTGAGATGAAGTGTTGACTTTGATTTGTGTTATTTCTGGAAGCAGATTTTCTTTCTAAATTATTCATGATTAAATATATTCTTTTATCTCTAAATCTGAGCTGGTGTACAAAAAAAAAAAAAAAAAGTCCCCGGTTGCACCCGTATGAATTTGTGAAGAGTCTAAAAATATACTGCACATAGTTCTGATTTCTGTAGATGCTAAGTTAATGGGAATCAGAAGCTTTAAAAAAAAAAATCCTGTGAACTAAGAAAATTTTAACTTTATCCTTCTTGACTTTATTTAAAATTTAAACTAGTTCTTAAAAAATACCAAGTCACATAGACACATGGTAAAAACTTCAAATTACACTGAATGCCAAATGAAAAGTATGTATCTCCCTCCCACCTGGGATCCACATTTCCATTCCCCAGAGGCAGTATTTAACAGTTCGGGGTGTATCTTTCCATACAGATACTGTACTCATTTGTTTTAATTTCACCTGATGATATAGTAGTTTTTTCATCTTTCTTCCCCAATGTTCCAGTTATTTCATTATGCATAACAAATCACTCTAAAATGGTGACTTAAAACAATAGCAATCAGTATTTTCTCACATAGTTTCTGTGGGTCACAGATTCCAGAGGACTAGGTTGGGACCTGACTCTTTCACAGTCAAATGGTGGCTGGGGTTAYGAAAATGAGATGGCTGGCATGGATTTTATCTTATCCCAGGGCCCCTCTATGTGATCCTTCTGAATGTGTTATGTGTAGGCTCACTCATTTGAGGGGCTCCCTCAGAATGTTTATGTAGAAGCTAGAGGCTTCACTAATCACATGGTTGTATTCCCAACAGAAAGGTGGACACTATTGTATGCCCCAGCCTCAAAATCACATAGGATTACTTCTGTTAAAATGTTGGCCATGACAGTCACAAAAGCACAATTTCAATGGCAAAGAGAACAGATCCTATCTTAACAGGAGAAGTGGCATGTCAAAGGGCTACCATTTTTTTTAAAAATATCATCTGCTGCTGAACAAAAAGGTCTGATTCGTTATTTTCTAAATAGTTGCATTACATTTTATTAATGTACTATATTTAATCAATCCCTCCCATCATCCACCAGTCCTTTGTAATTATTTTTGAATTATAGTTTGAAACTCTCTTCAGATGCCCCTCCTCTCTAATTCATCCACACCTGGGGTAGGCAAACTATGGAAGGCAGGCCACATGCTTTTGTAAAGATATACTGGAGCACAGCCACATCCATTCATTTACATACTACCTCTGGCTACTTTGAGGCTACAGTGGCAGAGTAGTTGAGCAGCCACATTGTTGTAGCAGAGACCATGGATCTAACAAGACCTAAAATAGTAACTGTTCCCTTAAGAAAAAGTTTGCCACCCCTTATCTCCACTTTTGGAACAGATAAGGCCCTTATATCAATCATTTACATATCTTTATTGATCAGTGTGCTTTAGTAAGAGATCTCAAATTATATAGCTGGTAGACATTTTATTTGACTTGTGATCTTTTAAATTTTTTTTCACGTTTAGAGAACAACATCTCAAAATTGGGAAATTTTAAACAAAAATCTATAATGCCTATTTCTATAGGAATATATAGTGGGGAAACTCTAGCTCTCATTCCTATAGCACCATCATCTGCCAGTAGTGATGGCACTGCCCATTCAGATCAGCCCCATATCC